GGACGCTGGGCGCCAACCAGGCCCGTCCCCGGGGAAGCGCGCCCGCGCGGGAGCCGCAGGCCCCGGCGCTGTCGGCCGGGCGGACTCCGCCGTGCTTGCCCGGACGCCGGGCGGTCGAGGCCAGAGGACCTGCCGCCCTCGGCCTCTCTGCAACTTTTCCCACAGAGCGGTGAGGCCTGTGCCCACCTCCCCGTCAGGTTCCCGCGCTCCGGCCAGGAACCTGCCCAGACGGGTCGGGGCCAGCGGCCAGCCTGACGCGCGTGGCGACCGAGGCCCGTGGCCCCTGCCCTCCGGCGGCCCTGCCGCTCTGCTGTGGGCGTCGCTGGGTATCTGCCCGACTGCTCGGACGCTGTGGTGTCCAGGGGCCCCCGGGTGACCCTCTAATGACAGAGCAGGACTTGACAGTGTGGCTGCTAAAGACGAGGTTAAAGGTCAAGGTTATTTTTAAGCTTACGATAGGAGCCAGGTGTGGTGGTGCACTGGCACTGTAGGAGGTGAGCCTGGGCAACTTAGTGACTTAGTGAGAGCTCTTGAAAATAAATGTTCAGTCTAGGTTTACAGCTCAGTGCGAAGACCCTGGGTTCAGCCCCGGCACTGCAGGAGTAAGTAAAGGTATGATCGGGATCTTCACGGTGGTTTGGCAGATTTGGGCAGGATGCCTCTGGAGCATGGGTCTTTCCGGGCAGTGTGGTAGGTTTCTGCCTGGGGACCTGGGTGCAGCTGTCTTAGGGACAGCCCCAGCCTCTCCTGCACCTCCCCACGGAGTCTGCCCCAGCAGGCGTGATGTGTGGCTGTTCCATGCTCTTGTCCTTGCTCCTCCAGCTGATCTTGTAAAAGGTGCAGAGCCAGGAGAGCCAGGACAGGGACGTCCACTTGGAAGCCACAGGACAGTGGCCTGCTCTGCGCATCTGCCCACCTCGGGTCTCCCAGGGCCCTGGCCCCCAAAGGTACCACTGAGCCTCACCCGCCTCTCTGCATGTGGGGACGCCACCGCCCTGACTGTCCATGGTGACCACCAGGGTCCAGGAAGGCTGCACGAGTGCCCCCGGTGGGAGGGCTTGTGGCTTGTGTCTGTCCCTGCATGTAAGGGCCAGCCACACCACACTCCTGACTCATCCCCAGCCTCAGAGGCTGTCACCCTGTCTCCACCAGAAGCACCTGCAGGAGCGCACAGCGTTGAAGCCAGCGATTTCTGTTTGGAAATAGGGTCGTCTCCTGCCGCTGACCCCCATCAAACCCCATCATGCCCACAGCCCTGTGCCCCCTGGTGCTGGCCCCCCAGGAGAGTGAGGAGCCCCGGAAGATGAGGAGCCCCCCTGGAGAGAAGGCTGGCCTGCCGGGAGAGCCCCCCAGCCCGGAGTCCTCACGCCGCCTGTTCCGCCGCTTCCGCTACCAGGAGGCAGCAGGGCCCCGCGAGGCGCTGCGCAGGCTGTGGGACCTATGCCGCGGGTGGCTACGACTAGAGTGCCACAGCAAGGAGCAGATCCTGGAGCTGCTGGTGCTGGAGCAGTTTCTGGCCATCCTGCCACGCGAGGTGCAGGCCTGGGTGCGCGCCCAGGAGCCCGAGAGTGGCGAGCAGGCCGTGGCTGCCGTGGAAGCGCTGGAGCGGGAGCCTGGGAGGCCATGGCAGTGGGTGAGAGGGGCACAGAAGGGGGGGAGGGGGAAGACAGCTGAACTCCCCCTTTCTGTGGCCCCTGGGGCAAGAGACCTGTGCCTTGAGCTGCCTAACTTTGATTAAGCTAGACTAGAACTTGGTTTCTCAGGACAACAAGTTCTTCTCCCCAAAGGCTGCTATTTGGGTGCAATGTGGTCAGTCCCTGGGGTAGCCCTATCCAAAGTCCAGAAGGAGCCTGGCCTTGCCTGGGGTCCCCCTGAGCCTGAGCCATTCTTTCCCTGGGGACTGCAGCGCAAGCACTGTGAGGACCCTGTGGTGATTGACGATGGGGATGGCCCTCCTGACGTGGGCCAGGAGCAGGACCGCCTGCCCGTGGATGTCCTCAGCGACCCTGTGAAGAGCCAGGATGCCCAGCCTGTGGCCCTGGCACCAGGCCTGGGCCTCCTCAGCCCATCTCCCAACCAGCTCTGTGAGGGCCCAGGTACTAGAGAGCCCGGCAGTGGGAGGGCCCAGAGCCTACAGGTGGGGTGCTGGGTGGGTCTCACCTGCTGATGGCTGCATTAGCATCTCCTTCTGTTCCTGGGAGCTGGGTTTGTTTCCCAACTCTCCCCTCTGTGCTCTCCCCAGCAGACCTCATGCGCACACCTGGGTCAGTGTCCCTACTAGCTTCATCACCAGATAAGCCTGACCTTGAGTTTGGTAGGGATGGCTCAGGCCTGAAATCCCAGCTACTTGAAAGACTGAGGCAGGAGGATCCCAAGTTCAGGCTCATCTTGGCCAGTGTAGCAAGACCCTGCTCGTTAAGTGAGCTCTCAGCCTTAGTTTCTTCTTGTGTAGTAGAGGTCGTGGCTTCCCTCTTTGG